ATTTTAAAGTCTGAAAGGTGAGCCTGGATTCTGATCCATGTTGCCACATTTTAATGTGGTTGGTAAGTGTCCTGATGGGACTAAATTGGATGATACACAGATGGATCAAACCCAGCAAATCGCCCTGTGCTTCTTCCCTGTTGGAGGGTTGAGCAGTGCGTGACAACATCTTGGAGCCCCACTGTCTGGCTTTGATATTGTCCCACCCACTTTGTAGCTGGAAGGCCTCACGCTCTAGGTCCTTTCTTCCCTATTGAAGAAAGAGTGAATAATAGCATCTATTTCTCAGGGCTATTTTAAGGATTAAATGAGTAGCTCATAGTAGGTGCTACATAAAGGTTTGCTGTGATCCTTCCTAGAACATGAACGATTGGATGCCCATCGCCAAGGAGTATGACCCCCTTAAAGCTGGCAGCATTGATGGCACTGATGAAGATCCACACGATCGTGCTGTCTGGAGGGCAATGTTGGCCCGATACACTCCCAACAAGGGCGTCACAGGAGACCCCCTCCTCACCCTGTTTGTGGCAAGACTAAACTTGCAGACCAAGGAGGAGAAGTTAAAGGAAGTATTTTCTCGCTACGGGGACATCAGGAGGCTCCGGCTGGTGAGGGACTTGGTCACGGGTCTTTCAAAGGGCTACGCCTTCATTGAATACAAAGAGGAGCGTTCTCTGATCAAAGCATACCGAGATGCAGACGGCCTGGTGATTGACCAGCATGAGATATTTGTGGACTATGAACTGGAAAGGACCCTCAAAGGGTGGATCCCTCGGAGACTTGGAGGAGGTCTGGGAGGGAAAAAGGAATCTGGGCAGCTGAGGTTTGGGGGGCGTGACCGGCCTTTTCGAAAACCCATTAATTTGCCAATTATTAAAAACGATCAATACAGAGAGGGAAAACGGGAAAAGCGGGAGCGATCTCGGTCTCGAGAAAGACACTGGGACTCTCGGACGAGGGACCGAGACCATGATCGTAGCCGGGAAAAGAGATGGCAGGAGAGAGAGCCAAGCAGGGTGTGGCTAGAAAGTGACTGGGAGAGAGAGAGGGACTTCAGAGATGACCGAGCCAAGGGGAGGGAGAAGAGGGACCGAAGTAAATAGAGGCTCACCAGCATCGCCAGAACCCAGACCCAGCATAAACAGAAGCACAGAGATCTGGGTTGCTTTTATATAGTATGTATGTCCAGTGCTTGAGTAAAGCTTGCTAATGGTGGTGGGGTCTGGAGTAAGTTTTCTTTCCGATCTGGAACCCAGGTTCCAGCTGAACATGATACTATGAATCTTTCTTTCTCTCTCATTATTTAATAAACTTGAGAAACAGTTTTGTCTTTGCCAGCATCTACACAGAAGGGCAGGTAGCAGTAGAGAATTTGTTTTTGCAATTTTGATTTTCTCCTGCCTGTTGGAATTGACCATTTGGGGGGCTTGGCAAAATGAGGTGATGACTGAAAATCATTTGCAATACTCTCAGACTCTTGGGAACCTGAATATGGCCAGAGTAAGCTGTATCTTTTCCATCTTTATAGTGTAAAGGCTTGGCAAACTGAAATAAAAATGACATAGGGCAGTGAATTCAGGGACAATGTTCAGAACTTCATAGCAAAGCCAGTGTGTGCAGTAGCCTGGGTCAGCAACCAGCTATTCTCAAACAAATGTAACTCCATTCTTGAGCCAAATGCTGACGGCCTTTTTTTCCTCCCTGTTTTTGGCAGGGAGGCTGGCATTTAAAGTGAAAAACCAGGGATGCCTGGGTGGCTCAGTGGTTGAGCGTCTGCCTTCGGCTTAGGGCATGATCCCGGGTCCAGGGATTGAGTCTTGCATCAGGCTCCATGCAGGGAGCTCCCTCTGCCTGTGTCTCTGCCTCTTTCTCTGTCTCTGTCATGAGTAAATAAATAAAATCTTAAAAAAGAAAAGAAAAGAAAAGAAAATGAAAAACCAAAGTTGCAGGGCTCTGAGGCTCTGGTCTGTGAAGCTCTAAAGAAGTGATCATGAAATGGCGAGAAATCAATGAAAGAGGCTTCTATGTGGTTCTGATGGATTGATTTGTCTTCTTCGTCTTGGACATCCGGCCTCCCATTTGTTGGAGGGCTGGATATATTGACATTAACTTTTAAGGGCTTTGAAAAGTACCATGCTGTTCCCAGGATTTTCACCAAAGTGACACTTAGCATTTTTGTTTTATTAATGGCTGTATCTTTGTAAGCTCAGCTTCTTTAAAATTCAAGATGTTTCATGCAAAGTAAATGATTTAGTATCAAGACTCAACACATTCACGACCAGGTTTTTGCATTTGGGGTATGAATCTCATGTTATGTAGGGAATCTGTTCTATCTTAAAACTATTAGGACAGTTTTAGAAAAATAGGTTCTTTCCTTTGTAAAAAAAATTTTTTTAAAGATTTTATTTATTCATGAGAGACACAGACTGAGGGAGAGGCAGAGACACAGGCAGAGGGAGAAGCAGGCTCCATGCAGGGAGCCCAATGCGGGACTCGATCCTAGGACCCCAGGATCACACCCTGGGCCAAAGGCAGGCACTAAACCGCTCAGCCACCCAGGGATTCCCCCCTTTGTAAATTCCTAGCGCAGAATTTTACCATCTCCTATGTCTCAGAAAACAGCCATGCAGGTGTACACTCTTCTGACTCCATTCAGGTTTTGCAAAGTGCTCCCTGTTACGACACCAAAAGTGTGTTATGGGCTAGAGTTGGCAGGTACTTCAGCTAAACAAGCTGTCCACATTAGGGAAGCTTGTGTTGTGAGACAACAGCAGAAAAAAGAAATCCAGTCATGGTGTTTACATTATCCACGCTAGTGGTTAACCCTGGGTACCAGAACATAGATGGATTAAACAAATATGCACACACAGATCCCATCCTTGACTTTGAAGCTTCACATTGTATGGACCCTGGTAACTAAGCAAAACAAAAAAGTTGGTATAAAGCCCCCACAGCAGGGACCTTAGCAGTAGCCACATGACAAAGGCATAAACCCTATCACCTGGCAATTCTAGTTTATTCTGCAGACTGACATGTGTGAAAGTGTACAGTGCTGTTTTAGACAGTAAAAGACTGGAAAGGAAGTTGACAGTGTAACTGTCAACATGAACAAATTATGCATCTACATGGTACACCAGGGGTCCTCAATCTTGCACTATTACATCTGGTGCTGGGAGACTGTCATGGGGGCAGTTCTGAGCGTTGTGGGATGTTGAGCAGCATCCCTGGAGCCGACCCACTGGATGGCAGCAGTTGTGACAACCAAAACACCAAAAATATTTCCAGACATTGCCAAATGTCCCTGGGGGACATTGAGACCCACTGTCTTATGTACTGATGTGGAGTCATCATCTTCAGGGTATTCTAAGAAAAGAAAGGTACAGAATAGCACATATATAGTATGCTGCCATTTATGAAAAAAAGGGAAAAATATATTTTGTTACATAACTGCATGTATATTTATAAGCTCTTTGAAGACATTCAAGAAACTGGCAACATTGGTTACTCCTGAGAAGGCAACTAAAAGTGGCCAGGGGGAGTGGGATTCCTTAATACACTTGCTTTTATACTCTGAGAATCAACTGATAATTCTTGTGGGCAGTCAGGTTTGAGAACCACAGTGCATAAGCAACATTATCCTGTCTGATCATTCTTTTCTGCAATCTGGAGACAGAGTCCCCATAGACTGTAAACCAACCTGATGGTTTCTTAGCAAACCATAGCAGAATGTGTAGTGGACTCATCAGATGTTACTTGAGTGTTCTGCTAGCAAATGCTACCTCTCTCAATCTGTCAGCACCCAGCCTGTGCCCTGAGGTGTCCTCTGTGGGCAGAGAGAAAGACAGTGCTATTTGGGCAGAATCCCAGCTCACCAGATACAGGTTTCTGCCCCTCTCTGTGTCACCACAGCCCTATGAGTCAGCCAGACATGCGGTCCCCAAGCAATCTCTTCACTGCCTTCACGCTGGCGAGTCTGTCACCACCCCCCCCCCCCCATTTCAAATCCGCTCTGGTACATTGGTCTTCTTTATAGGAGACTAAGTGTTTGATGTATTGAAAGATAAAAGAAAGAAAGAAGCTGAGGGGGAAAAAATACAAACAAGAAATGAAAAGGGTTGCAATGTCTCATCCTTAGCAACTTTGTTTGGTTAGTACTGCATAACACAGCCGATTCCAAGGCACTCGTTACATGCTCTAGGCAATATCAGTAACAAGGTGCAAAAGAGAACCACTGGCTCTTGCAAAGTCATCTCCAGTTTCTGGGTTAGGAGGACCATATTTTCTGTTGCCTCACATCTAAGCGGGGCCAGCTTGTCTGGTGACTTTGGAGTCTTATCCTGCTTATCTAATGGATGCATCCTATGTACTGTGCTACCACCACAACAATTTCATGAGAGATACAAGGGAAATCTACTGCTTCCCTGCCTCCCACTTCAGTACAACAAATGTGTTAATAAAACCCCTACACAGAATTTCATACAAAGTAAGTCAAACAGCAATTATAGTGGCATGTGATGTATTTGGCTTAAAGAAGCTTGTGTTACTGAAGTTAATGCAAAAGTCTGGCCTCTGCTCATGGTGTTATTAAATATATATCCTAAGGGATCAGTCATCTATTATAAACGGTCATAGCCCTGGGTATAAATAAACATTTCTTTAGAGTTTGGCATCAGTTTTTCAGTGTGCTTCCTCAAAGCAGTTTGTTTGAGGGATCAGTTCTAGGGGTGCATCTGAACCGAGAGGTGTGCAAGGTAGCAACACCTGAAGCTGCCAGGTCCCACTGCAGGCGCTGGCGGTGGATAATTCAGGTCCCAGGGTGGAGGCGGGCTGTGGTCACAGGTGCTGCAGGGCTTCCTGTCCTTGCTCCGTGTAACTGTCATCACGGTGGGAGTTGGCCCACTGGCCAAACGACTCCTGGATGTGCACGTTCCTCTGCGTGTTGGCCAGACGCTTCTTATCTCGGGAGAAGAAGCTAAACCTTTTGGAAGGGAGAGAAGGAAATGAAAGCCAGCCCTCTGTGCACTTTAAAGATTTTTTTTTTGCAATGCCAGGACAGACAGCAGCAAATGTAGAAGGAAGCAAATCAATTCAAGGTATGAAAGAAAAAGTGGGGGTGCAAGTCAAAGTTATTTGAGAAAGCAGCAGGGGATTCTGCATGTCATTGTCACCAAACCTGGGAGGTGATACAGTGTGAACAGGGCAGGTACATATGTGATGTGTGATGCATCTCATCTCTTGGTTAAGCACTGGTGACAGTCTCTTCCCATTACCAGTGGAAATAAAAACCAACTAGAGGGGCACCTGGGTGGCTCAGTGGTTGAGCATCTGCCCTTGGCTCAGGGCGTGATCCCAGGGTCCTGGGATCGAGTCCTACATCAGGCTCTCCTTGGGGAGCCTGCTTCTCTTTCTACCTGTGTCTCTCATGAATTAAAAAAAAAAACAAAAAAAACAACCCGACTAGAAATACACATCTGGAGTTTCTCTACCCTAATGATGCAGAGAAGGTAATAACTGAAAGCCACACAGAGTTTAAGATGATTCTGACATAAAGAGATGGATGTTTTTAATTTACGTTATGTAATGTGAATCAGGAAAGTACATATGCAGCACATCAAAGCCCAGATTTCATGGATATTACTGCTAGAGATGAGCTGAAAGTAGGTATTTTAGAAAAATGAGACAATTAAAAAATAAGTAATAGCACACATGGTTCTGTCATTAGATAAACACTAAATATATGCAAATGAAATTGGGGAAAACACCAATTTACAGTGTCAAAAATTGACTTGAGGGCAAAAGCCCTTAGAAGTCAGCACCAGAACTTGCTACATAGCAGCAGCTAATATAGACCAAGATGTCTTTTTAAAACATCTGTGATTACTGGGGCATCTGGGTGGCTCAGGTCATGATCTCAGGATCATGAGATGGAGCCCTGTGTCAGGATCTGCTGAGCATAGAGCCTGCTTAAGATTCTGTTTCTCCCTCTCCCTCTGTCCGACCTCCTTTTATCCCTCCCGCCCCACTCACTCTCTCTCAAAAAAAACAAACCCCAAACCAAAAATAGCTGTGACTACTGATCATTGATCAAAGTGAACCATCTGATGCCTGAAGGATGAAGGTAGAAATCACAGGCAAAAAGCTTATAAACTGGCCCATTTAAAAAAAGAAAAAAACTTAAAAAAATTATTTTTAATAGGCTCCACACCCAATGTAGGGCTTGAACTCACAAACCTGAGGTTAAGAGTCACATGCTCCGGGTGTCTGGGCGGCTCAGTCAATTAAGTGTCTGACTTGATTTCAGCTCGGGTCATGATCTCAGGGTCTTCAGATTGAGGCCTGTGTTTGGCCCTGTGCTGGGTATGGAGCCTGCTTAAAATTCTCTCTCTCTTTCTCCCTCTGCCCCCCACCCAACCCCTGTGCCCTTTCTTAAAAAAAGGAGGGGGGCACACACTCTGTGGACTAAACCATCTAGGCACTCCTAAACTGGCCCATTAATTTTTTTTGGAGGGGAGCAGGGGGAGAGGGAGATAGAGCATCTTAATCAAGTGCCACGCCCAGTGCAGAGCTCGACACCGTGCTTAGTTCCACAACCCTGAGATCATGACCTGGGCTGAAATCAAGAGTCGAACCTTTAATGGACTGAGCCATCCAGGTGCCCCCAAACTGGCCCATTTAAAACAAGGTCTGCTTTAGCTCCAGCTCCAAAGGCCAGGACCCTGGCCAGTAAACTCGAAGTGGCCCACTTTTAATTTCCTCCAAAAACCTTTCCTAACCTCACTATCCTTTGATACTCCTACTTTCTAATGAGATTCATTCTATTCTCACTGAGTTGTTACTCTTGAATTTTGGTTTCTGAACTTGGTAAGAGAGAGAATAGCTATGTTATGTTTCCCAGGGGCAGGAATAGAAATGCACCGCTGAGAAACTGAAGCTTCAGAGCAACTATTTTTACTTCCTTCTGGCTGTTCACCTATTAGTCTTTTTTTTTTTTTTCCCTACAGTGCTGTGGCCTATGGAGTTAGTTCCATTTTAATCACATCTGGGTGAAAATGATTTTACTATTCTGTGGCTACTGGATCCTACGATCACCTCCTACCAGGAATAAAGTGGTTTTTCATTGTAAAGTTGGGGCAAGCCACGTGTATCTGGAGAAATTCTCCCTCCCAGTGAAAGTTTCTTTTCTCTACAACAGATATGTATACTGATAAATGAAGGCACAATGTTCATACCGGGTTATTTGTGAGCCCTTTCCATGGTGAAATCAGGGCAATTAGCTGGCCAAAAATACAGCTGCCACACATCACTGTGACATTTCACCTCTACCTGACTCAAGCGGGAAAGCCACATGCCACTTCCTGTTCAAGGGGACATAGAGAGAAAGAAAGCATTGGTCCCCTCTTCTGCTCTTCCTTTTTTTAAAAGAAGACCAAATGGCTTTCCAACACTGGCTTGGCGAAACAAAGCAGTTTAGAAAGCTAGGGCATGAAAGTCAAAAACACAGCGTTAGTGTCACTCTGAGGGTGAGGGTCCATGGTGGAGGGAGGGGGCGGGCACAGTGGGCGTTGATTACTGACCCGTCACTTAAAGGACCTTCTTTACTGGATCATGGACAAGGTGGTTTTTAGGATGGAAACAGAAAAAGACAAAAAGAATTATCGGTGACAGAGCCGTGAATTGCACGGCATCACTCGTGCAGACAAGACTCACGAGTGCACGTTTGAAATCACACTCGACACCCACTTCACATGGCAACACGCAGGTGATGGCCATGCAGCTAAAGTGGCCAAGGAAGGCGGGCCAGCCTCAGCAGAGTCGCAGCACACATTCCAAAGGCACAGCTCAAAACGAAACCAGAAAAACACAGTGCCTACAAGGGCAACAAGTCGTCGGATGGGCTGCAGTGTGGGGTCATCTATGATCAGTCCAGCTGCTACCATGGGCATTATGGCTGTAAAGATCCTGGTTAGAAAAGTACAGATAGACACAGAGAAGATAAAAACAGGGAGGCATGAAAAATAAACACATTCCACACATACCAGCTGAAGGGTTTGCTTCTGGTAGATGTCATGGGTGGAACTGAATCTCCCTCCTCAAAATCCTGGTGAAGCCCTAACCCCCCCCACCCCACCCCCACCTGAGAAAGCGATTGTATCTGGAGATAGCATCCTTGTAGAAGTAATCCATTAAGATAAAGTTATACTAGAGAAGAGTAGATCTTTGTAAAAGGGGAAATCAGGACACAGGCACACACACAGGAGGACCGCTATGTGAAGATGAGGGCAGGGGTACAGGCGATGCTTCTACATGCCGAAAAGGCCAAAGATTGCCAGCAAACCACTGAAACTGGGAGAGGCAACAAATGTTCTCTCTCACAGCCCTCGCAAGGAAGGGACCCTGCCAACACCTGGATCTGGGACTCCCTGCCTCCAAAGCGTGGGACAAAGGCTCCCAGCTGTGGTCCTTGACGGCAGCAGCCCCAGCACACTTACACAGCCCGAAGGGAAGACATAGTGGCCCGGGGTTTGGGAAGGAAGGAGTCAAACCTGCCGTGGGTTAGTGGTGACACCCTCGGGTGTCTTCTAACACATCTTCCCCAACTGCCATGCACTGCAGGCTCCGTGCCCCAAAGGCAGCCAGGGGGCACCCAGGAGAGAAGAGGCGGCCAGGGTAGGCTGGGCAGGAGAGCTGTGGCAGGGAGCCTGCATGAGCCACCCTCCTGGCATTAGTCAGAGCTGACAGTCCCTTGTTTTGACAAGGAAAATGAAGACAAGACTCCAGTCAAGCCACCAGAGCTTATTTTGAACAATTTTGATTTTTCTTTTTTAGATGCTGGCTGGGAAAAGAGGAATGACTTTCCAATGAAGTTTGGGATTACCTGTGTTTGGATTTACCTCCAATACACTTCACGGAGTAGCTGGAGAGTTGGCATGTTGGCAGAACCACATAGGTGTCTAATCATGGTGATGACAAAAGGGGATACCTTTTGTCAAACAAATGGGCCCAATCCCCCAAGACCAGGCTGTCAGGCACGGCTGGCTTTCCAGAGGACTCTGAGCCACATCGTTCTGCTCTGACCTCTGCTGGGACCCCTCTCGGCCTAACAAGGACCCCCCCAAAGACACAAGGTGACATGTTTGCCCACCTGGAAATGCTGGACTTCATGTGAGGTCCCATTAGGGGTCAGACCGGTACCCAAGGGCCCTGGGACACCTGGAGAGTTCTGGCTGAGTAACTGAACTCCCGGCCTTATTCCAAGTGCCTCCCTGCAGGGACCACTTCCTTTAGAGGGGCAGCCTCTTCCTCGAAAAAAGACTGGCTTATATCAGTCAAAAGTTTATGCTCTGGATATGGTGTAGCTGGTTTTACCTACTCCCTACCCGCTGTTGGTTTCCAGAAGACTAAATCCAAAGAAGTGGTGATGGTGGCATTTCAGACGGCACAACAGGCGGCTGTGAAGAAGCTATTTCTGGGCTCAAGTGAGGAGGGCGGTGGGTAGGACAGGGCTAGAATGCACTCCTGCCTCTGTTTGATGCTTCGGGGGCCACCTACTCTGAAGGCCGACCTTGCCGGTGTGTGTGACCGGCTGTTCTGCTCCATAGCTTCCTTGGCTGTCCCTGTGTCCCTGCTGCCTGCTTCCTGCCTCCCAGGTCAGCCCCCCCCACACCCCTTTTCAGCAGAGAGCTGCTGTGAGTCTGCAGGCCTTTGATTGAGGGACGGATACCACACAAAGGGGGCGCTGGTGCCTGGTGGCCATGGAGGACAGCGCTGGAGTCACTCAGCGCTGCCTCGTGACCTTCCCAGGCGGTGCCAACCTGGACTCTCCAGCCGGCAGCTGCTCAGTCACAAGCTATTCTTGGACCGTCTTCTGGGCACAGTTTGGACCGGCAGCAGGAGTTTCTGGTTCCCTTCAGCAGCTCAGAAATGCAGACGCTGATGTCCCTGGCTCGTGGTGCACTTGAGAGATAAGGGAACTGGGCAGTCAGCCCGCAGCTGGTGACTTGGCATGGGCTGAGGGGAAGGGGGCTGGGAGGCAGAAGGAACGGGTTCGAATCCCAGCTTTGACCCTTCCCAATCGTATGATCTAAGGGGAAGTCACCGGGCTTCTCCAGGCCCATTGACTCATCTGAGAAATGGGGCTAATCATCCCCACTCTGAGTCTCTGACAGGGTGGAAGATGCCTTAGGTGGTGTGAGCTGATGAAGCTGCTTCAAACCTCCGTGGTAGTTACTGTTCACGAGTTGGTGGATGGAGGAAACTGGTCTAGGGCGTGAGGCTCAGCTGGAAAGCAGCCACAACCTGTACCATGGAGGCTGTGCAACCACTATTCCACAAAAGCAAGGGTGAAGGGACAGGTGGACCCATCAGGTGCCAGAGGTGTGAGGGATGGAAAGGGAGGTAGGCATGAAATTGTCTTAAGACTTGCCAGTCTCTGCTCCAGGCCTCAGGGAAGATGAGTCCCTACCCTTGGCTCTGGGATCATGGGCCGCACTGATGCGGCTCTCAGTCAGCAGCCGAGATGGACAATGGCAACCAGTGTCCTGCCTGGGCTGGTAAAAAGCCTTTTGTGCCAGTCTGATCCTCTAATCATCCCCTAGAAGGCTGGGGTGGCCACAGGACTGGCCACCTGCACCCTCTCGATGGGGGATTCTGAACTCCCTCCCTCTCTGTTTCTGTCTCTCTGGCTCCCCAATTCCAGCTGCTTCTCCTACCAGGCTCAGAGCCCCAGGTCTTGCTGAACAGTCAGAAGCCACACTAAAGGGGAAAAAAAAGCCCAGGATCCTTTGTGGAACAATCTGGAAAAGAGGACTCGACACCGCAGCCTATTCAGGTGTGAGTAGAAGAACCAGTGGGAAGAAGATTGTTGGCTAATCCTGATATCTTTCCTCTGGATTTTACCCAGTTTGGGATTTGTAAAAGCCAACCCTTAATTGCCTGTCTTTGAGGAAAGTGGACCAGAGCAGAAAACTGACCACAAAATCAGGGCAGCTCAGCTTTTGGAAGGCAGGCTCAGAAATGCACACCGTCTCAGAATTACAGCGCTGGAGGTGTGGTACATGCAACACACAGGAAGATGCTAAAAGCTGACTTTGAAAGACCTGGCAATGAACTGTTCAAGGAAGCCCAGGGCTGCTCTCTTGGTCCCGCCCCTCCTCAGCCCAGGGGCAGACTCTGTGGGCTCATGGACTCTTCTCTGCTCCCCCCAGCTTTTAACCCAAAGCTATACTTTGGCTTAAAACACAGAATCGATTATGCTTGACCTTACACCTGTGCGTGGGGCTGGCAGGTGGCTCAGAGTTTAAGCAAAGTCAATCCCATTTCTTAGCACTGGATGAGAAACCCTACCCAAAGGTGAGAGTTTCCCTGGGCACCGAGTACATCATAGATCGAGACCAAAGGACTCCCTCTCCATAAGGCTACAGCGGATGCCCATTCCTTCTGTCTGCCAAGCCCTCTGATCTGCCTGGGGCCTGTCCTTCCCCTAATTTCCATCCATCTGAACGAGACCAAGTTAGAGCTATCCCAGCCCCAGGCATAGGGAGACCTGGATCTGTCCGATGGATGCACTGCCCTGTGGTTGGAATGGAGGTCATGTGACCCAGTCTGAGCCAGTAAGACTCAATTTCATGACTTCTGTGGAAAATTCTCTTCCCACTGGAGTTGCAGACAAAAGTAGAAGCCTGAGCTGATGTCTGCCATGTTGGCATCCTGAGGGACAGTGTGTGCAAGAATACAACCCACATAAAGGGAAACCAAGCCAGAGGTAGAGGGAATGAGGCAGAGACCTGATGACAAGGCCTGGATCCAGCTGAGCCTGAAACCAGCATGGCCTGGGAATTTTGCATTCCTTAGCCAACAGTTTTTAAGTTAGAGTTGAATTCCAATTGCCAATGTCAGATTACTAATACATGGCCAAATGGTGTTGGGATTCAGAGGAAGGCTTTCTGTTCTGGTTCCAAGCTTCACTCCCAGTAAGTACGGATCCCTAACCAGAACCAGAGATTCCATGCAGAGATCGAGGGGCAAGCAAATAAACAATGTGAGGCTGGCAAGAGAGGCTGGGGAAGGAGCTATGGGTTCACGCACACACTCTATAGGGCAGCCACCTCTTCCCAAGAGTAGAGACTCCCAGCAGCCACAAAGCTGCACACATTCTGCATTCCCCTTCCAGTCCACCACTGCTGAGCATTAAGTCACTTCACAGGGTAAGAGCTAGCCAAGAATTTCCTAATGTAACTGGTTTTTAAAGGTTGACGTACCCAAGTAATACCCTAATTACTCTCCACACGCTCTCCTAGTGGCTTTCCAACCCAAGCTTCTGCCAGAGTTTGGGAGAAAAAGAGGAGGCCTCTTCTGTAATAAGCCATGGGTATAGCTGGAAGATCAAGAGCCAGGAAGACCCTCTTGGGAGAGATAACAAGGCTACAAGATGACAGTGTGAGGATGCACACCCTTCAAATAGCTGGAAATGTGGGCTCTGGAGCCAGGCTGCCTAGGTTTGAACCCTGGCTCTGCCTCTTAAGAGCTGAATGTCCTTAGGCAGCTGCCTCAGTTTCCTTAACTGTAAAATGGGAATGACAGTGCCTCTATGACACAGGGGTATGGTGGGGACTCAATGAGATCACCTATCTGCAGGAATGGTACCTGGCACATATAGGCTCTTAGCACATATTAGCTAACTAGACCACAGGTTTTCACCTTTTATCTGAAGGGCTGCAAAGGTCAACAAACCTGAAACTGTATGTGTGGTTTTTCTCCTCCCCCTAGGGAGGGTCTACAAACTCTCAGAACCTCAAAGGGATCTTCTGATATAAAGAAAGACTCGGGATCCCTGGGTGGCGCAGCGGTTTGGCGCCTGCCTTTGGCTCAGGGCTCGATCCTGGAGACCCGGGATCGAGTCCCATATCGGGCTCCCGGTGCATGGAGCCTGCTTCTCCCTCTGCCTATGTCTCTGCCTCTCTCTCTCTCTCTCTCTGTGACTATCATAAATAAATAAATTAAAAAAAAAAAAAAAACAAAAAAAAAAAAAAAAAAAATAAAGAAAGACTCAAGTAGCTTAAGGTCTTGTTGAAGGCAAGGCTGAGTTCTTTCTTTCTTATGTGTTGCCCACAGCAAGCAGGGCCTGGCTCTGCATGTATTATTATGTAGCAAAAAATACTTACTGGGGAATGGGGGCGTGGAGGAATCATCACAGAAAGGCACAGATGAGGTGGACCAGGGGCCATTGCAGATCTTTGCAAGCTGGGGTTGTAAATCCTTTGGATGCATGAATCTCCCCCACCAGCCTTACTTGCTGCTCAGAGACATGCTCCACCTGACACACTCAAGCCCTGAACTTCAGCCACAGACCCCACCCCCCCTTTCCACCCTCTCAGCCTTACCCAAACCTCTCTGCCTGGGGACCCCCAGGAGGAACTCAGCATTCAGGTGTGAAGATGAACTCAAAGTTGAGGGCCAGGCCCAACATGCTCCAGGGGTTAAGCCTGTCTCAGCAGAGGTGGTTAGTGACAAGCCTGGCCCTGGAGCAGGTGCCTGGAAGTAAGAGGCTATGTGAACCACTAGGTCAGCCATGAGTGAGCAGCCCCACACTCTGCAAGCACATCACTTACAGTCGCTTGATCCCAGACTCCGGCTGGGGGGACATTCTTGGGTGGACGACTGGTGGAGGTTGGGGTATTCGATTTTCCTCTTCTATTTCTTCACTGGAAGGAGTTGAGAGGCGTGAAATAAGAGAGGCAAAAATTCTGTGAGAGCTGGAATATTCCAGAAGGGTGTTGTCTGATGGTCTGGTAGGGCTTATACTGGGAATAAGGGGACCAAGGAAGATGGCAAAAGTGGCCTGTGCCCCCACAGTCTCTTCGCCCAGGGAACTGGCCTCTTAGCAATGGCTATGGCCAGCTAAGAGAAGGGGTCAGCCCTGAAGGCAGTGGACATAGGTACCTGTGGTCTCTTTGTCTAGTTGGTCAAATATGAAGAATTTCAGGAAAGGAACCCACATCTCAAAAAGGCAATTTTCAGTTTCCTTTGAAGACTCTAGCCACATAGAAGTACTTCACGTTTCCTGACCTTGCCAAATGTTGTCTCCCATCTCTTTGTGGTCTCTTCCATCTGGAATATGGCTCTCCCATACCTGGACAGTACCCGATCCTTTAGGGAAAGCCCAATTCAAATGCTACCCCCTCCATGAAGTCTTCCTGATTTCTACCCCCACCCCCATCCCAAGAAGTGTTCTCTCCCTTTGAACAGCCAGTTCACACAGTATCAGTAAAACTTTCTTGTGTGCCAGAGTAGAGTGGGTTTTCATTTTTTTTTAAGATTTTATTTATTTATTCATAGACACAGAGAGAGAGGCAGAGACACAGGCAGAGGAAGAGAAGCAGGCTCCATGCAGGAAGCCCGATGCGGAACTCGATCCTAGGTCTCCAGGATTACACCCCGGGCTGCAGGCGGCGCCAAACCGCTGCGCCACCAGGGCTGCCCTAGAGTGGGCTTTCAATAAAAATATGTGGCACTATATTTTCTGTGCACCTCTTATTTTCCCTACTGGATCAGGGACCACACCTGGTGCATCTGTCCTTCCTTCCGGCTTCCTGTTCAAGAGGTATTTGTTGTGCACCTACTCTGTGCTAAGCTCTACTCTAAGACTTCAGAACTTAGCCATGAGCAAGACAAATACGGTTTCTAATCTCATGTTATCATAGCCTGATATGGAAACAGACAATAAAACAAGCACATTAATGAACAGGCTTGAAATAAGATGGTGAAGGGCCATAAAAAAAGTAAAACCAAGTGAAGTGACAGTGACCAGAACAGGGCATTCCTTTGGATGGATGGTAATGGGGCAGGGAAGCCTCACTGAGGAGGTGACCTCTGATCTGAATCCTGAATGACCAGGAGTGAACCATGGGAAGAGCCAAGGGAAATGTTTTCCCAGCTATAGGACCAGCATGTGCAAAGGTCCTGAGGTAGAAACAAGTGTGGTATGTCTTGAGAAACCAACAATAGGGGTAGTGTGTATGAAGCTGAATGAGTATGTAGTGAGTACACCTGAAGAACTGGATTTTATTTATTAATCTTTATTTAAAGATTTTATTTATTTATTCATGAGAGATATATATATATATATAGAGAGAGAGGCAGAGACACAAGCAGAGAGAGAAGCAGGCTCCATGCATGGAGCCTGATGCAGGATTTGATCCCAGGACCCCAGGATCATGCCCTGGACTGAAGGCAGGTGCTCAACTGCTGAGCCACCCAGGCATCCCATAATTGGATTTTGAACTTTATTTTAACTTATATAAATGTAAATAGCCACACAGCTAGTGGCTACCGTATCAGACAGTGCAACTCTAATAAATGCAAGGAGCTCACTGGCCGTGGGCTGAATAAACACACACTAAGGCTGTACAGCTCTACCATCTCTTATCTGCAATTCTAAAATCCAAAAAGCTCTAAAAATGAAAATTCATTTTTGGTCATTCATTTGGTGGCAAAACCTGAAATGAACTTTCCTGAGCCTGACTGTAACGGTTATCCTATTTAGTATGAATATTCACATCTCTCACTGTAAAAATATTAACATGTTTGATTTGGGGGAGTTGCCCCGGACCATAGTGGTGTATATCACGTATACACAGTCTGTGGACTATTCCTTCCTAACAGCCGGGAAGTTCTGAATCATAAAACGCACCTGAACCTAAGAGTTTCAGAAAGGGACTGAGAACGTGTGTCCAAGTACTTCAGGCCAGACAGGAGCCCCAGAATGGAGACAGATGCAATCCTTGTCTTCCCAAGACTTCGTACAACCCCAGAAAGGAGCCACCTGGGGCTCCCAGGACACTCACCTCTTATAGTACGCCAGCTCCTCCTGCAACAAAAACACTTTGGACTTGAGTTCATTCCTCTCATGGAGTACGTCCCGCAGCTCCTGCAGCGTGAACCGGGGGCGGTTGGGGTCCTTGAGATCCATGGCCACTTTCTCTGCCTCGGAGATGCTTTCCTCCCCGCCTGGCTCCGTCTGGAGGAGGCAGAGATGCTGCTAATGAATTCCTGGCGGCCACCACCGGCACCCACTCCACATTCTGCCACAGCCCAAATTTCCCACCCTCCCGGGGCCTTTGCAGCTTGCCGAGGGCGCTATTTTAAGAACTCGAAGGCGGCCTGTGCTCACGTTCTGTGCAGTCAGCGTCCCTCTGGAGATGAAAGCCACGGGCCACCTGTTCATTGTTCGCCTTCTCAATAGCCAGACCTGCAGTCCTGGTGCCTCCCCACCTGCCTCGGGGTCTTATTACAAATAAGAACAAGGAGTCCAAGAAGAAGAAACAGCACGACTCACATGCTGCCACCCTCATAAATCTGCTTTCTTTTGCCTACATTCTCTTCTGATATTCTTACTAAGACCACTGCTAATAAGACCATTGCTTGGGCAGCCCGGGTGGCTCAGCAGTTTAGCGCTGCCTTCAGCCCAGGGCATGATCCTGGGGTCCCGGGTTCGAGTCCCACACTGGGTTCTCTGCATGGAGCCTGCTTCTCCCTCTGCCTTGTGTCTCTGCCTCTCTGTGTCTCTCATGGATAAGTAAGTAAAATCTTAAAAAAAAAAAAAAAAAAAAAAAGACCATTGCTACTTTGGCCAAAGTTGTTAAAATCAGAGCTTAAGTACAATTTTTTTCTTCCCTTCTCATCTGACATTAAAGTCACATATGTTTTCCCATTTGTTACTGGCCTTCTGGTCAAGCCCTCTCCTCCCCAGTGGCTAAGGGCATCTGTGCACTGGCAGTCTGTGGGAGTGGGGGTGGGGTGGGGTGGGGTGGGGTGGAATGGGGTGGGTGGGCATGTAAACATCCCAGCAGGTGTGCAGATGCAGAGCATTTCTCTTCTATGCAGGTCACACAGATGGATCCTAGCATGCTAAGTCACTGCCAGGCCAGACCCAAACCCTATCCTCTTTCCCTTTCTCACAGCAAGGTGTTTTTCTTTTTTTTTAAACAAAAAGAAAAAACAAAACAAAGAAACTAAAACTGTAATAATATACACTTAAAATCTACCATTTAGGGATCCCTGGGTGGCGCAGTGGTTTAGCGCCTGCCTTTGGCCCAGGGCGCGATCATGGAGACCTGGGATTGAATCCCACATCAGGCTCCCGGTGCATGGAGCCTGCTTCTCCCTCTGCCTATGTCTGCCTCTCCCTCTCTCTCTGTGTGACTATCATAAATAAATAAAAAAAATTAAAAAAAAAATCTACCATTTAAAAATATACAATCCAGCAGCTTTTTAGTATATTCACAATGCCGTGCGGTCACCACCTCTGTCTAGTTCCACATTTTTTTTTTTTTTTTTTTTTTAGTTCCACAGCATTTTCATCACCCCAAAAGAAACTCCATAGCCATTAATGGTCATTCTCCAATTCCCTCTTCCCCTGCCCCTAGCCCCTGGTGACCACCATCTGCTTTCTATCTCCATGGATTTGCCTTTTCTGGACATTTTGAATAAATGGAATCATTTGTGTTCGCTTCTGTTACCTAACATCATGTTTTCAAGGCTCATCCATGCTCTAGTGAGTCAGTGCTCCGTTCCTTTTCATGGCTGAATACTATTCCCATGTGTGGATATGCCACGATGGGCATCTGAGCTGTTTCCACCTTTTGGCTAGTGTGACTAGTGCTGCCGTGAACATCTGTGTACGAGGATCTGTCTGATTGTCTCATCACCTGCTCTCGTGCTTTTGGGTGGGTGTACACCTCTGGGAGCAGCTGCCAGGTCACATGGTGACTGTGTGTAACTGTCTGAGGAACCACCAAACCGTTTTCCACAGCAGCTGCCCTACTTTACATTTGGCCAGCTGTGTGGGAAGGTCCCACTTCTCCACATCCTCACCAACACTTGCGTTTTTTACATTTTTTGAAAGCAAGGAAGTTTTTGCAAGCTGCCCCCAAGTCAGCTGGCCAGATGTGCAGGTGGCCTGTCCTTTCCTGGTGTTCCCAACCCCCTTGAGTCCCCAACATCCCATCATCCACTAGAAGGGGTGGACAGAAGTTCAGGACAACAATGGGGGAACTCTAGAACGGGGAAATGGGATTGAAACAGAGACCTTGGGCAGCCTCGGTGGCTCAGCGGTTTAGCGCCACCTTCAGCCCAGGGTGTGATCCTGGAGACCCAGAATCGAGTCCCACGTCGGGCTCCCTGCATGGAGCCTGCTTCTCCCTCTGCCTGTGTCTCTGCCTCTCTGTGTGTGTGTGTCTCTCATGAATAAATAAATAAAATCTTAAAAAAAAAAAAGAAACAGAGACCTTCCTCCACCCCCACACTCCCCAAAACCCCCACACCACTACTGGGATGAAGGCATTCTGACCCAAATGGAGATGCCAGGCCAGGATGTTGAAGGACCCAGGACGGCAGAGCTGAGAGCCTGTGTCCTGGGAGAGTCAGGACGGGCTGTTCTGGGAAAGGACACTTGAAAGGAGACACCACCCACTAGGGAAGATCAGGTGACAGAAGAGTCACCCAGCAGGCACAGGTCGGGGGAGTAGGAGCAGGAGCCGGCAGGGAACAGGGGAGGCACCTGGCTGCAGCAGAGAATGGACACCTAACAGATGCCACCCCCAAGTTGGGACAGTGGGTGGGGCAGTGGACTCCACTGGGCAGTGAAGTGGGAGTAGGGAGTAGGGAGGAAATCCCGGATGATTTAACTTCCCAAAAAGGTATTCCAGGCATCTGCTGATGCCACACCTTCAGGTGAGCTGTGTCCTCAGGGTATGTCTTCAGCATCTACCTCCTGCAGAGCCACACAGCTGGATGGTGTCCTCTACCCAAGACCCTGCATAGCAAGGGGCTGCTATATAGCAGGCACTCACTAATGCCAGTTCCCTTCTCTTACCCTGCCCAGGTTAACTACGAAGCATCCTTGAATGTCTATAATTAATATTCAGTAAATAAATGGATTTCTCGATAAACATTCAACATTCATTGAACATCAACTCTGTGCCTGCTGGGCACTAAGTAATGAGATGAATCGGGTAGGCCTGGAGGGAGGCTTACAGGGTCATATAATAAGAGGTGCAAGGACATCAAAGTCTAACTGGGAAGGATCATGGAAGATGTTACTATGGACGTAGTCTCGGGCAGCCCCGGTGGCACAGCAGTTTAGCGCCGCCTGCAGCTCAGGGCGTGATCTGGAGACCCTGGATGGAGTCCCACATCAGGCTCTCTGCATGGAGCCTGCTTCTCTCTCTGCCTGTGTCTCTGCCTCTCTCTCTCTCTGCATCTCTATGAATAAATAAATAAAATCTTAAAAAAAAAAAAAACTATGGACATGGTCTCTGTGCATGGGGTCTTGACGAATGCATAGGAGTTCACCAGGAAGTTGGCCTTCCCTGAGCCCCTTGCCCTCTGCCCATTTTGTTTGGCATTTGGCCTTCACTGTGTTCTAAAACGTTTTGGAATTAGTCCCCAATGGATTTATATTGACAGATTTCACACAAGTTTGGGTCTTGGGCTTCCTTTTGGAAAGAATATTGGAAGACTGGGTCACAATGGGCCACATGGTAACACTGGGCTGGTTCTACATGGCAGCTATTGCCTTTTACACGTTCTTTCCATGCCTGCTCAGCCCCTACCCCTTTTTCTTTCCGTGCCTGGACCCCATAGGCACTGGAAGCCACTGCCAAGGACCCAAACCTCAGGCTCCCTCCCTCCCTCTAGCCCCTCCCTTCCCAGATAACTCTGGCTCTGCCCGGCCATTTACTGGGGCAAGTCTGTGCCTCTCTGTCTCCAAGAGGGGCCATCTGGAAGGGATCCACACATCCTGGGGAAGGCATAAAGCTCTTCATGAGAGTTCCCAAACCCTCACTTCCCAAAGAAGCCTTTGGGCAAGCAGCCTGATCCTCTCTGGGTCTTCATTTCCCCATCTAGCCCCTGATAATCCAGTAATATAACTTCCCACCCTTCCCACCCAGACACCAGAGATTCCTCCAAACACATGCTCTTCGGACACAGCAGGTTCCCACTCACCCCCACGGGCTGTAAGCACCCAAGACACCAAAGGGTTTCCTCAGACCGGAGTTCTTTTTCTCTGGAGAAGGGATGGGCTCTAATCAGGGTGGCAACCTGATGCATTAGAGCTTGGGGGATTCCCAGACAGAGGCATAAAAAGTCCTGACTGCTGGGACCACTGCTTGGAAATGCAGAAGAAGGAAAGCCTGGGGCTCCAGCTTTTCTGGAGGCCAGCAGGTGCTCTTGGATTGGCCTGTCCTGGGAGAGAGACTGAAACGGCGCTTTTCAGCATGGAAATCAGGCCCATCAGCAGCGGGTCTTCTAGTTTTACTCCATGAGGGACGACGGAGGTGCCTGGGGTTATCAAGGATTGTCTGCTGGTCCCTGGAGGCACTTTGGACACAGTTGAAGGATATGCCCTGAGGCGCTGAGTGCTCCCCAGAGAGGCCCGAGAGGCCTGCTGACAAGCAGTAGGACCAGAGTGGCCTAAGGGAGGTTAACATCCTCCACCCGGGTCCTGTGTCCTAAGGCCTGGCCTCCTAGGCCCACTCTCTCTGCCTGGGCACATCAAAGCCACTATGCTCCCGCAGCCTCTCGAACATGCTTGTGAACAGCCCCTGGTCCAGCAAAGGGGAGTGACTGTGCCCTGGTCACCCTCTGTAACTCCTATACCCACTGAGCATACATTTAGCCAGAAAATCTGGCTTCACCCACCTGCCATCCGGCCCGTTTCCCTGCGCACTTAAATAAACACTTGTTAAGATATCAGAATCCATAAGGCAGAGGTGTCAAGTAGGTAACTATGAACTTTAGTTTTCTTTTTTTTTTTTAAATATTTTATTTATTTATTCATGAGAGACACAGAGAAAACAAGAGAGGCAGAGACACAGGCAGAGGGAGAAGCAGGCTCCATGCCGGAAGCCCGATGTGGGACTTGATCGCAGGACCCCGAGATCACGCCCTGAGCCAAAGGTAGACGCTCAACAGCTGAGTCACCCAGGCATCCCTAACTTTAGTTTTCTTACTGATTTTATAGGAAATCCTTGAGACAGGGAGCCCACCATATCATTTTCTTAGGGGTTTTTCTATGTCTACCTGTGAAAGGCAGGAAGCCTCCAGTGAAACCATAAGGAGCTAGATGAGTTAGAAAACACACTAAGCAGGGATGCCTGGGTGGCTCAGCGGTTCAGCACCTGCCTTTGGCCCGGGGCGTGATCCTGGAGTCCCGGGATCAAGTCCCACGTTGAGCTCCCTGCATGGAGCCTGCTTCTCCCTCTGCCTGTGTCTCTGCCTCTCTCTGTGTCTTTTGTGAATAAATAAAATCTTAAAAAAAAAAGAATTATAAAAGAAAAAACACACTAAGTGAAGAAGCTGCTCAGACTGCATGTCCCCACGACTCCATTTCCGGGAAATGTCCACAACAGGCAAATCCACAGACACAGAAAACAGATTTGTGGTGGCCGGGGATGCGGGAGACAGAGACGGCGATTAGCTACTCACAGGTATGACCTTTCTCTTTGGGGTGATGGTGTTCTAGAAAGTGGTGATTGTACATACAAGAGTGAATATTTTAAAACCTATTGAATTGTATACTTCAAATAGTTGAGTTATATGTGAATTATATTTCAATAACTGTATTATAAAAATGTATCAAGAGATTTGTTTACTGGAGATCACAGTGACAGAGCTCAGAAAGGACTGCATGAATCTAGGGGGTAGAACTGGAATCATCAAGGCATGAATGTGAACTGACTCCTCCCCAGCTCTAGATCCCTCCATAGCTCCCATTTTCTCTACCAATCCTGTGCCAGGATTAGCCCACGACCCCAGCCACGCCTGTTCTTTCTCCAGTCTGGTTCATGCTCTTCCTCCTGCCTGGACTGGTCTATCCCATATTCTACCCCAGACATCCTACCCATCCCATAAGTCTTGTCTCCGTGACTTGAAGACCTGCACTGCTCTCATCCCGCCAAGGATTCACTATGCCCTCTTCAGATCCCATCTGTGGCCCTCTATCCCAGCCACACTATTTGATCTACTGAACTGAGTCAAGCTCATCCCCTTCACTTATGAGACAGAAAACTGAGCACCAAAGTGATGCATAAGCCCCAGGTCACACAGCAGCAGGTGGAAAGCCACCACCAGCCGTGGCCTCCCTGTCTGAATGGCAAGCATCTTGAACTCCACCCAGCTCTGAGGCAGGGAGTCAAACCCAGCAAAGGCTCCCAGTTTGGGAACAGACCTTGCAAAGCAGCTCAGTGGGTTAGTCCTAACTGCTACCTGATGTTACTCCTCCATTTCTATCCCACCCCCTTGGTGCCAGCCAGCAAGAGAAACTGAAACGCACAGGCAGGAGGGCCAAGGAGGGGTGACATGTCCCTGTCCTCATTGCTAATAGATCTGGAGCAGGGCTCAAGGTCTTGTGCCCAAGATGATATCTTCAGGGGCCTGGGTTTGGACCTAGCCCTGCCTGCCCAGGAAGAGACAGGCCTGAGCTCTCGTGGGGCACAGGAGGCCAGAAGGGGTACACCAGAGGAGGAGGGGGGTAACTGCGCCCAGCGTCACCTAGCGGCTGTTTTTGGCATCTGCCTCATCCCCTTCATCCCACTGCCATAGACTCGGTCCAGCCCTCGCCTTCCTTGCCTGGACTATTGCAAAGGGCTCCCTACAGCCATGTCTGTGCTCAGCTCCCTCTTGATCAAACTGTCCTCCATCAACTCAGAGCTCATCCTGTCACTCCCCTTCTGAACCCTGTGGAGGGATCCACATTCCCCACCACTGTGTGTGGCATTCTGGGCGCTGCAGAGGACAGCTGCCTGCCCTGCATCTGTTTTGTACTTTTCCTGGCTGAGTCCTTGCAGGTGTCCTCTGGAGAAACTCTGCTGGCCCCACTTCCACTTTGCTGGCATGGATGGGCACACAAGGGGTAGCATGTTCTAGACTTCAGGCCACAATGACTGGTTCTGTGATGGGCCCACGAGAGGGTTCCCTGAGACTTGCTGGGAATTTGGGAAAGAGGCAACTTCTTTTCACTGGGGTTGCAAAGCTGGTAGAGTACCAGGGGCCACTGTATGGCAAGAGCCTGCCTGAGAACAATACCAACACAGAGGAAAGCAAAGCTGAGAGATCTGATGGCATCATTTGGGCACCTGGAATCAGCTATACCTGAAGCCATCCTTAATTCAAAGCTTTTAGCTATACAACCCAAAATCCCACTTTTTAAAAAAAATCCTTAAACCACTTCAATTTAGGCTTCTGTCACTTTTAGCCAAAAAATAAGCCCTAACCGCTCCCTTTTAAGATTTTAAGACTTCTTTCCCTTACCTCCCTAACTCTATCCCAGGTTCCTGTCCTGCAGAGAGCCTAGAAATGTCTGGCCTGAATTCATAAGATACCTAACAACTGTGCTGGCACTTGAGCCAACCTGATGGTGAGCTCATCTGGCTTACCTCTTCCACCTGCAACCCAAGAAACTAGCACAGTGCCTGCAAACCTGAAACAGTCAATAAACATCTGCTGGAAGAAAGCATAAGCCCTAAGCTTTTCCCTAAGAGTCCACTGTGTTTTTCTGAAGCAGCACATCTACCCTCTACATCTACCTATCAAAATCTCAGCATTGTTCACACACATTCAGCCAAAGGAACAACTCTTCCATGAAACTGCATGCCACCCCCATCAGACTTAACTGTTCTATCTCTCTGTCGCTGGCACACCCCCTGGGGGTGGGGCTCGTTTACGGGTGAGACACCTCTGGCACCCCGTGTCACAGCCCTGGGCCCAACTGGATTATAGTTGCAGGTGTGGTGCAGCCCCACCCTTGTGGACAGGGCCCCACATCAGGCACACACTGCGTATCTTTCCACTCGTGCCCTGAGGTCTGCTCTGTAAGTTCTGCCCAGGAATGTCAGGGAGTTAACACCCCCAGGAGCCACCCTTAGCTAATCAGGGGCAGGTGCATGTGGATAAATGCTCCAAGTCTTTCTGCTCCAGAAAGACGGTTCTGGGACATGTTCTACATGCTTCTCAGAGGTCCCAGCAGGACTGAGTTCCCACTGCAACCTCAGTAACACACACTCTAATTCACTTCTCCTTCTTCCCTGTCTCAGGCCTCTGATCTTTGGGATCATCGCCCACATAACCTCCTTCCTATTTTCCTTTTCTCAAGCTCTGTTCCAAGGAACCCAGACAAAGACAATCTCTTACCACTAAGACAATCCCTTTCCACCTTAAGTGTGGCTGAGGGCATCCAAGTCTGTCTCCTCCATTGGGTTGTTAACTCTTTGAACCTCAATAGTACTCAGCACAGTGCTCTGACGTAGAAGACCACACTCGGCTCTGTGGTTTACCTGATCTACAGGACTGGCCCCTGCCTCATCTCTCTGACCTCATTCCAAACTTCTTCCTCCCCCTTACACTGCATAGAGCCATTCTTGCCTTTTTATCCTACCTTGGTTGCACTACAATTTCTCCTACCACAGGGCCTTTGCATGTGCCATTCCCACTCCCCCCCGTTCGTTTACTCTCATTCTTTTAATCTCCTCCTTAGAAAAGTCTTTTTGACTCCTCCAGATGATAATGGTAATGATAACAACAGCTAATGCTTTAAATGAATTAACTGTGGGCAGCCCGGGTGGCTCAGCAGTTTAGGGCCACCTTCAGCCCAGGTCCTGATCCTGGAGACCCAGGATTGAGTCTCACATCAGGCTCCCTGCATGGAGCCTGCTTCTCCCTCTGCCTCTCTCTCTCTCTCTCTCTCTCTCTCTCTCATCTCTCATGAATAAAATCTTTAAAAAAAAGATAAAAAGGTTTAAAAAAATAAATGGGTTAACTCACTTAATTCTCATTATAATCTAGGGTTAAGTACTATTATTATTCCCATCTTAGACACACGGAAACTGAGCCACAGAAAAAGCTAAATAATTTACCCAAGGTAATAGAGGTAGTAACAGGCCAGATCTGAACCAAGGCAGACCAGCTCTAGGGCCCACGCAGTTAACTACACAGCATACCTCCTCCCAGGTTCCTCCTACACCCCTCAAGAGTAATGGGGGAAACAAAGCAGCCTTGCCCACCTCGAGCCAGCTCATAGCCCTACCTTTCCATTTTGCTTCAGCGCTGTCTTCCCACTTACCTGGGGCTCTTCCTCCCCATTCTGGCTGAGTTCGCCCTGCAGCCTCTCTCTCAGCTTCCCAAGCTCTGCCCGCAGGCTGCCCATCTCCTGTTCCTTGGTTTGCAGATCTGCCTCTAGTTCTACCTTCTGTTCAATCAGGGCCTTCCCCTGGGCCTCCACCACTGTGACACGGTGCCGGAGGTCGTGGTTGATCTTCATCAGCCGAGTCTGCTGCTGCTGCAGCTGGAGAAAGAGAAAAGCCATTTATGGGGCTGCTGCATACAGTAGCTCATGTTGTGGACTGCACAAGGGCAAATCCTCTACAGGCATGCCATCATATTAGAGACATCATGATTTGTTTGAAGTTTGTTCACATTCTTATAACTGTTGACGCAAGGGATGGGCAATTTGTATATTTACTATGACGATTATGACAGATGGAAGATAAGTGTTTTGTCAGTGTATCATGATGATTTCCCAACAGATGGAAGTAACATGCCTTGAGAAAGGAGTGTCTTTTTCTAATTCAGGTGGAGACACCGTATGGGTTCCTGGAGCAGCCTGGACCATGCTGGCCTGCTCACGGAAGGGCACGAAGAGGGTGGGTTGGAGGAAGCTGCAGGGTCAGAACAAAGCCTGGCTGGGTCTTGGCATCTCCCCAAGGTGTGGAAGAAGCAGGGCAGTGCCCTGACCCCCCCCTGCTGTTACAATGCAGACTCAGCTGAGGGTCCTCCCCATAGCTGCAGCTCCAGTGTGGAAGCTGCCAGACTTCGTGCAGGAACCCCCACCCCACAGGACGAGACCAAGGGAGAGAAGGGGAACTGTTCGTGGGGAGGATCTGATCTCCCTGTTGGTATCTCCTGGTTGGGAGGGTGGATGTGGGGTCGGGGGCTTGTCACTTACAGCCTCGACATCCTCATTCTTCAGACCGAGCTCCCGGTCCTTGGCGCGGATCTCGTCGCGCTGCTTGTCCACCACCTCCTTGAGCTTCTTCATTACTTGCCGCTCCCGCTCGGACATGCCTGGGGTGGGGCGATCAAGATCAGCAGGGGAGCCCTTCGCCTTCCCCGCCTCACCTACCCGCAGCTTCCCACGGAGATGCTGCTGGCCCTGCCCTTCTCTACACCCTGTCCCCCAGAGCCAGCACCTGCTTCCTGTTTCCTGGGTCCCTCTGAGCTCATCCCCACCTCAGGGCGCCAGGTGGGCAATTCCCTTCCTTCCAACCTCCCCTGAGGCTGACTCCCCTTATGTTTCAGGCCTCGGCTCAACCATCACCTCCCCACAGAGACCCTTCCCTGCTCCCCTAAACTAGCCCCCCACCCTATCTACTACCTTCACAGCACTCTTTGCAGTGATCGTCTCATAGGTCTTATCATCTAACAAAAGATGATTTAGAGCCAAGGCTCTGAGCACAAACACCGGTTCTCCCATTTATGGTCTATGTGGCTTCACGGGAGCCTCTCTGTGTCTCAGTTTCCACATCCATAAAATGGGAATAACAGTACCTACATATGGTTGTAGGTTGTGAGGATGAATTTAGCTCACACACAGGAGGCACGGATGATGATGCCTGGCACACAGCCAAGGAGTGGTGTCTGTTACCTACGTGTTCATTGTCTGTTCCCTGCCCCTGGTACACTGTCAGCCCCGGGAGGCATGGCCTTGTCTGATCTATTCACTGTGTATGGCCTTGGCTAGCACCATGCCTGGCACCCAGTAGGGGCTTGCTGGGTGATCTGGTGAGTTAACAAACTGTGCTAGTTTCATGTGGCTGCTGTAATAAATGACCAACAAAATCTGAGAGCTTGAAACATCAGATTTAAGATCTTGAGATGGGGGATCCCTAGGTGGCGCAGCGGTTGGGCGCCTGCCTTTGGCCCAGGGCGCGATCCTGGAGACCCGAGATCGAATCCCATGTCAGGCTCCCTGCATGGAGCCTGCTTCTCCCTCTGCCTGTGTCTCTGCCTCTCTCTCTGACTATAATAAATAAATAAAAAAAATTATAAAAAAAAAAAAGATCTTGAGATGGGGGGTTATCCTGAATTATTCGGGTGTGTCCTAAGTGCAATCACCGTGTCTTATAAGAGGGGGGCCCAGAAAGATTTGACGCAGATAGAAGAGGAGAAGGCCCTGTGACCAAAGAGGCAGAGACTGGAGTGATGAGGCCACAAGCCAAGGGACACTAGCAGCCACCAGAAGCTGGAAGAGGGAAGGGACTCATTCTTGCCCTAAAGCCGCTGGAGAGAGGACAGCCCTGGCAACATCCTGACTTTGCACTGATTTTAAACCTCTGGCTTCCGAAGTATGAGAAAATAAATTTCTGATGTTTCAAGCTATCAGATTTTGTTGGATGGACCCAAATAATTCAGGATAACCACCCATCTCAAGATCTTAAATGAAATCACATCTGTAAGGATTTTACCATATAAGGTAACATTTGTAGGTTTCAGAGATTAGGACCTGATATTTCGGGGGACCATTTTTCTAGGGCTTCCCACGTGGTAGACGCTCCAGGCTGATGGACTAGGGACCGATTCCTCCTCCTCACACACACATTCCCAGAGCACAACTTGCTCCCACTATGCCTGCTAAGGACAAGCTGCTTTATATCCCTGACACTAGTCCAGTGTCATTTCCAGCCACCGGACATGGGTATTACTATTATTGTGATTTTTAAAAAGATTTTATTCATTTATTCATGATAGACACAGAGAGGGGGGGGGGGTAGAGACACAGGCAGACGGAGAAGCAGGCTCCACGTAGGGAGTCTGATGCGGGACTCAATCCTGAGACCCCAGGATCATGCCCTGGGCCAAAGGCAGGCGCTAAACCGCTGAGCCACCCAGGGATCCCTCTATTGTTGGTTTCTTTTTTTTAACATCAGTCCCTTCTTACAGACACAGAAAACTGAGGCCCAGAGACAGACTTGTTTAATGATTACAGCTAAGCACTGGCAGAGCTGGGACTCAAACCCTGGTTTTCTTTTCTTTTCTTTTCTTTAAACATTTTATTTATTTATTCATATACACACACACAGAGAGAGAGGCAGAGACACAGGCAGAGGGAGAAGCAGGCTCCACGCAGGGAGCCTGATGTGGGACTCGATCCCGGGTCCCCAGGATCACACCCCAGGCTGCAGGCAGCGCCAAACCGCTGCGCCACCAGGGCTGCCCTTCTTTTCTTTAACGTTTTATTTATTTATTCATGTGAGACACAAAGAGAGAGGCAGAGACACAGGCAGAGGGAGAAGCAGACTCCATGCACGGAGCCTGATGTGGGACTCGATCCTGGGACTCCAGGATCACACCCTGAGCCAAAGGCAGATGCTCAACCATTGAGCCACCCAGGCGTCCCTCAAACCCTGGTTTTCTGCCTCTAAGTCCCATGTCCTTTCCATGACGCCATATTGCCTCCCCACTGCAGAACCAGACTCAGAGGTTCTGCTAAAGTCACTAGAAAGTGTCACCATGGGGCAGACTCTAGTCTATACTTTGTTTCACGGGGCCACCAGCTTGGAGTACCCTTACATCTTTTTGCATGTACACATAGGCATACACTCATACTCATACATACACACAGTGTATATTCAGTGTCTGCTGTGTACCTGATACTGAGCCAGTAGTCACCAGGGTCATGATGGTCAATAAATGAAACACAATTTTGCTCTCACTGACTTACAGACATCAGACAAGGATGGTGTCATTAGAGACCATGACAAGTGAACATGGCAGATGCAATGGGGCCTGAGAGAATTGTGAGGGGACCCATAGTAGACTGTGGGAGCAGAAAACCTTGTTGTTGTTGTTTTTTTAAAGATTTTTATTTATTTATTTATTCATGAGAGACAGAGAGAGAGAGAGAGAAAGAGGCAGAGACACAGGCAGAGGGAGAAGCAGGCTCCATGCAGGGAGCCGACGTGGGACTCGATCCTGGGTCTCCAGGATCACGACCCAGGCTGAAGGCGGCACTAAACTGCTGAGCCACCGGGCTGCCCAGAAAGCCCTCTTGTAAGAGCCAATTACACTGAGACCCAAAGGACCAAAGGGCAGCTGGTGACGAGGACAAGCACTGCAGGCAAGCAAGTACCAGCAGGTGCAAAGGCCCTGGGGAAGAGATTGCATGTCTGAAGAGCTGAGAGGCAATGCTGGTGGCCAAAGCTAGTGGCCAAAGCACAGTGGGCAAGGGGCAGCAGGATCTTGAGCTGGGAGCAAGCCTAGACCACATGGGGCCTCAATGCCCAGGAAGGAGGTTGGATTTTCCTCTGAAGGGACAATAAGAGCCTCGAGATCTCTACATGTAGGGCCTGCATGGAGCAGAAGGAGGATCAGGCCAAGGAGACCAAGAAGGGGTGCCAGAGAAGAAAGCCATACTGCACACCTACAGGAGGGCAGGTGTGCACAATGCAAATGAGGCAGGCCAGAGGGAAAGGAATTATAACAGAAACCCTGATGGCTGAGTGACTGGGAAGCTCCAGAGAGTAAAAGAAAGATGAGCTGGAATGTCTGGGTTCCGACAAGGCACATCACTCATAGCTCTGGAAGCAACATTGACCTCTCTGAGCCTTCACGTGCTCACCTGCATGTTTTCTACATTCCCACCTCTCTAACAAGCTGTGCATACAACACACAGGAGGAAATCACATGAGCCCACAAAACAGGATCCTTCCCAATGGGCAGGCCTGGGACCGAGACCACTCAGCTTCCTCCTTGACCTGCCGGAGCCACTTTGAAAACCAGGCGCTCCCTACCAAAGCTGCTACACACATTCCAAGCATGGGCAGCCACATCCTGGGGGTACCCCCAACAGGTGTGCGGGCCCAGGTTTGTCAGGAGGGCGGCTCCACAGATGGCAGGACAACCAGACGCAATGAGGCTATTTAAAAGTCTAAGACATACTGGTGACTGGAAAAGGAAAGTGACAATCTGTACAGCGCAAGACACATACAAAAATGTTCACAGGAGCTTTATTCATAAGAGCCCCAAACTGGAAACAATTGAGATGTCCATCAATAGTAGAATAGAGAGAGAAAGTGAGGTACTAGCACGCAGTGGAATACTACACAGCAGTGAAGAATGAGCTACAGGCTCTACTTGGAGCTCACCAAGTCAGTTACTTCTCCGGCTCTCCTATTCCCTCTCCCGCCGGACCTGCGGTGAGGTATCACAAGACCATCTGGAGGTCCTGGGCACCAGGCGTGTGCCCCTGCAAACATCCCACAGCCATGTGCAAGGCAGGGCATGGGCTCAGCTGCTGGGACGACAGGATACCACCAATGTCTCCCAAAAAGGCATTCCTTAGACACAAGTGTGTGCATGGATGTGTGCATGCAGGCTGGGACTGAAATCAGGTGGCAGTGGGATCCGAAAGAGACACAAACACATTTGCTATCTGCTTTCTGAGCACCTGTCCTGTTACAGGCTCTGGGCCAGGGCATCAAGACCTGAGTTCATTTAATCCTTGGTGGTAGTAGTGGCGGGGACAGATTCTGCTCCTAGAGAAAACAGGTGGAAAGAATGGTGTGAGGGACTGGGGAGTGTGGATCTGGAGAAAAGAAATCTACATCTGTAACCCAGCCACATCGTTCACCTTTGGGGTGCCCCTGGCTTTAACATTTAAGCCGGAGAACAAAGTGGTCAAGAGCTTGGGCTCTGAACCCAGATTTCCCAGACTCATTCTCTGCTTTGTTGTTTATCTGCCATTGACCTTGGGTCTGTTTTCTCACTTGCAAGACGGGGGATCATGTGCAGCCCTCACGGCTCTTACGACGGTAGAGGGGTTAATCTATGTGAAGTGCTCATAACAGGCCTGGCTCAGAGTAAGAGTTTCCACGTTAGCTGCCATTTTATCCACACAATGGAAATGTCAGTCCTCCGTGTTCCAGAGGATGGTGCTAAGATAAAGTACAAGAGATTCTACCAAGAGCTGCTAAAAGTGTCTGGAGAACTCAAAAGAAGGTAATGCACTTTTAACAGATCCACAGACCTTTTAAAATCTGGAAGAGAGGGGATCCCTGGGTGGCGCA